AAAAATAGAAAAAAAATATAGATAGTATATATACAATGAGAGTTATTCTAACAGAAGAAAAATGTTAATATATCCAACAACACTTAAAAAATTCTACTGCTCTTTTCAGCACGAGGCCCTCAAAAGAAAAAAACAACCCACCCCTGATCTACTTGTTTTTGAAATTTCTCACAATTTTCTTTAATTAAATGTAAATTTAGAGCTTTGAAATATATACAGAAACAAAATCTTGTAGGCACATGGTACCATAATTTCAGAATTTCACAGTTACAAACATGTAACTAAAGAGAAAAACCTAAATAAATTCTGTAAATTTATAATTTAGCTGCATGAGATTCCAAAGTCCAAAAGAGCAACTAACAAGTATAATAATAAAACGGATTCATATCTCTTGGGATATTAATTTCTTTACAGTACCTATGAAATATATTAATTCTTTGCAATCCTACATCACTCACAAATAATAACTCAATGTTAATTCTGTTCTGAAAATTTCCCATGTTATTTACAGTTTGTTGGAACAGATTACAGCTATTGATTACTGCGCAGAGAATGTTCTTTCTGTGAGAAGCCAGGCACATGGAAGTGACAGTCAGCTGAGCTATTGATCTACCCCAACAAAGAAACTGCACTCCAAAAGAAGGACAGTACTTCTTCACACCATTTATTAAACCTCCAATAATACTTATCAAGACACTACAGAGATTGGTATGTTAGGACTGAGCAATCTTAAACCTAGTAGCTTGTAAGTACCATTCAGCGTTTTGGGCTGACAAGTTATATTTTTTTTCCCTTTGGTGAGATAAAGCTAATAATTTTAAAACACAAAAATATGAGGCCATTTCAATTTGCTGCATGGGAAAGGTAAATGCAAAATTTTACAACTCTCAACAGGAAGATTAAGTTTTTATTGACTCACTATGTTAATGTATTTCTGACATATAATTTATATTTCATAATTTCAATCAATTCAATCCTTGAAGCACAAAAGTCTACATAGACCATCTATTATAATAGCCTGCAATTCTAGACTGAGGAACCAACCTAACCCCACCAATTCAGAGCCTTTCCAGAAAGAGATCAGGGGGACTTGTAACCACATCCTAGAACCTCTCAGGATATATCCAGGAGGTTATAACTATTGTTTGGCAAGATTCTGTCCATTAGGTGCAATTAAATAAAGGGTTAAACTGCCTAAATACAGTGGATCTCACTGTCTAGGCTCTGAGCTTGGGCCTGACAGTATGTCATTCTTCATTTTCTCCTGCATACATTGTACCTTGAAAGGCCTCCCCTGATCAAGTCCCTGTTGAAAACTTACTTCCCCTCTTCTTTGTATGTTGAATTGCTTACTCAAAGCCTTTTCCAGTCTTGTCCATTCCAGAGAGACCATCTCATTCTCATTTTTTTGGTAAAGTTTTTCTTTTTGTTAAGTAAAAATACAGTACCAAGGTGAAAAGGATTGCTTACATTTTTGCAGAGTAGTATTAGTAAAAACCTCTAAGTTCGGGAACCTCAATATGCATTTCAGTAAGTGTTGGTTTTTTGTTGTGGCAAAAAGATCCATATTTTTGTAGCCTTTGAAATACTTAGGATCCATTTAATTTTCAATTCCTGAATGGCTCTCTTCCCCAGTTCCCCATGTTATAAATAGTTCCCTTGCTGGTTTTCTGCTTTGATGGGCAAGTGATAACTTTTTTCCTATTCATGTTTCCTTGTTCAAGAAACTGGATTTTATTTTATCCTGATGATTGACATAAGGCTTCACGGAAATACTATATGTCTGAAGGAAGACAACTCAGAACTGACTGTAATAGAACTTTAAACAAATTCATCTCTTTAACAGCCAGACATATTACACCCCTAGTTTTGAAGGTGCTGACATGATTACTAGGTAATGTTTAGAAAAACCTACAGATAAGATGAAGTGCCAAAAAATTGCGGAAGAGTGAACATATTTTCAATATTCCAAAAAAGAGAAAAGAAAAAAACACAGGAAATTATGGACCAGTTTTAAAAGAGATTACCAAGTAGAATGCCTGCAGGTACTTAGAAAAGACCAGGAGCCAGCATGAATCTGTCAAGAAGCTATGCCAGAACAATGGTATCTCTTTTATGACAGAATAAATATTTAGGTAGACTAAGATAAAGTTGTACATATAAAATACCTTAATCTCAATGAAATTACTATATTTTTCATAGTGTCCTTTTGGACAACATGGATAAAAGTGGGCTAGAAAATAGTGTGTTCCACTGGATTTTCAACTGGCTGAACAATCATACTCATGTCATAAATGGCTCTACATTGAGGAGGATGAAGTACTGAGTGAGCTCCCCAGTTCTCTGTCCTTAGCCCTTTGTTATTTAACATTTCCCCCAGCAAAGTGACATGGCTATATATGAATGTATATAGTTGAGACAACAAGAGTACTGAAATGCCTATGCATATGTAAAGAGTCAGGTGGAACTATTGAAGCTCTCAGCATGAATCCAGAAAAACTTATGGCTGCTTTAACAGTTTGAAATGTTATTCATGGAAACACACTATGCAATGCAGCAGCTAAAAAGTTCAATGCAATTTTGTGCTTTATTAACAGAAGCACAACATCCAGCTCATGGGATAGAACAGCTGAATTGTACTCAGTTACAACACAGTTGAATCTAGACTAAAAAGTGACATGGGAAAGTTAGAGCAGGTTCAGAAGAGAGCTACCAGGATAAATAAGGGACATAGAAATCAATCCCTCTGAGAAGTGATTAAAAGAGCTGCTTAACCTGCATATTAGAAGATTGAGGCACGTTAGCAAGTTACAAATACTTAAACCGTTTTCATGCCTAAAAGAAGGCTGGTTCCTTGTTGAAATTGAAGATATTCAAAGCTCTAAGAATCTGAAATTAAAAAGTTTAAAATTAAATTTACAATTAAAAATTAGAAGGACAAGATTAAAACTGAATGTTAGGAGGAATTCTCTGATGGTAGAAGTTTCTTTTCTTTTCTTTCTATACCAGCAATGAATTCATTGTCACTGGAAGTTTTCAAGTGGGCTGCGTGACCAGGGATGGTTTATTAAATTTCTTAACTAAAGGTAACTAGATGACTTTCAAGATTCCTTCCAACTCATTTCTATGATTTGATCGTGGCAGATTGCTCCAATATACTGTATAATCTTTAATAGTTTCTACAGCTAACGGCCAATGGCTCAAATGTTTAGATATTTTCTGGAATTCATGTACTGTATATGCCAGTGTAGAGAATCAATGATACCCTTGGAGAAACTAATCAAGGCTGTTAGAAAAAAATAATTTAAATCCAGGAGACGAAGAAAATAACAGAAACTCAAACAATCTTTCCCTTAACTTTCTTGAGTATAAGGAGAGAGTTAGACTTTCATATACTGATAGGCTTTCAAAATTTCATAACTGTAGCTTATATTGATTAAGTTCCAGTCATTCTTATGGAGTCTTGTTTTCTGAACTGGCTACCTTTAAGAATTATAGCCAAACATCTGGATCATTTTATTTCAGAGGAAAGTTCATTATCTAAAAGATTTTGGCATCCAGCTGTAATCATCATCCACTTATGATCTACGATGAACAAATACAAACATCACTGTAGGTCCTGCATGATTACAACAGGATTTGAAGAGAACAGTGATATGCTATTTTTCCTGATAGGAAGAAGACGACATCAAATAATCAAGATGATGGCTTTTCACAAGACAAGGTATCAGGTTCTATAGATCCAAAATGTGCTCAGTGAATTGGAGGAAATTAGGCTAAGAATCCTTATTCTCCTGTTTGAGCAAAATTCTAAACCAAAAAGTGTCCAGAATTATTTCCAAGTGATCCATTTATTGGGAAAAAAAGTCTTTGAATTTATGATAACATATTTCAATGTTTAAATAATGAATTGGACATCAACACATGGTTATTCAGAAAAAGTTTTTATCAATATATTAATCAAATATGAATTATGAAATTTCCTGCAATAATATAATAGATGAGCCCACAAGCTCAGCTACCTAATGACCTAATACCAGACCAAACTGGTGCTCATATATTGCTTTTTTTTTTTTACTGATGAGAGGTTTCATAGCTTGGATAAATTGAAAAGTTTTGTTTCCTGAGTTTCTTGGATACCAAATGAACCTCAAAGCATTGCATATATATAATGTTTTTCATCTTCCACTTGGGTTATTTAATTCAAATAAAAATATGGAAAAGTTCTATTCAATTGGATTAAAATAAGCATTTGAAAGAATTTTAAACACTGTCATTCTGAGTTGTGTCCCATTAGGCTTCACATCAAAACCATTATCCTCCTCCTAGGAGGATCCAAACTTTTCCAGCTCTCTGCACCAATGGATGTATCATCATCCTTGAAGTGAAAGATTGAGCAGGAGCTTCCAATTTCCTGCACACATTTTCTCTCCTTTTGGTGAAGGAGAGAAGATAAATGAAATAATTTTGTTTTACAGGTATGAGGACAAACTAGTGTTGAGGCCTTGGCTTGCTACTCAATTTTCAGAGGCCCATGCCAGATTCTGGGTCATTATCAGTTATTAGGGGATGCAAACAGGAATATATCAAACCGAAAAAACTCCCAGTGATGTTAAGAGCCTTTTGATTCTTAATCAGAGACTGTATATATGCCAAATATTCAAACAATAAAAAGTGAAACTGTTACCTTGTCAACGAAAGTGATTCATATAGAAATCTGCATTGAGAATTTTGCCAATTTTTTTTCCTTCCACATATCACATACATATTTTTCTTCAACATCAGCTTACCAGTTTTGAGGAAACCTTGTAATCTTGAATGCAGCTATGTTTATGCACTCTTCATCGTATATATAGTAATTGTATCAGATTTAAACTTGGATGAATCTAAAAATGAATGCTATTATTAAAGAGATTGAGATATACCATGGCTTTCAGCACATGTACTCAAAGATAGATGGATTTTTCAATCCTGATATAGAAACAAATAAAAAAGGATACAAGCTCTGATAAAGAGTTATGAGAGATTTCACAGCTCTGCTGGCATTGATACATGTAGCCCGTATAAGATTTGGCAGCAGTTCTGCAGTCACAATTGCTCCATTAAACAAAGGACCAAAAAATGGGACCTGTTAATAAACAAACAACATGAATATAAAGCATTAAAAAAAGTGGAAGAATTCATATTATATTGGAGTTTTTAGCAGCAAAAGTGTAATACCTATGTGCACACATACTACTGTAAAAGTTTAATTTCCATATTTTGGGTGGAAATCTTTGCTAAACTGGGCTGCTATTACATAAACCAACCAATATTTACAGCATTTGAAAATAATCTTTAATAGTCTCAACAGAGTTGCCTCTATGTACTGGTTTTAAAATAAAACCATCTTGTCAAGAACAACAAATATGATTATATATTATGGTAACTACATAGCCCATTAAATATGAAAATATGAATTCTGAATTAAGACGAAACTACATCCCTTAATAATTATTGTCAACTTCAACAAATCAACATGCATGCTAGATCAATGAGAAAATTGTAAAAATAGAGTTTCTTGTAACGGAAGACAGCCCCTTCCCTCCTTAACTTTTCTAGAATGTTCCATAATACATCTGGGAGGAATTTGAGATGGTTTTTCTTTGCTGCTTTTGAAATTAAAGCAACTCTATTGTAGGCATATACTATAAGACTTTTTGCTGAATGTTTCCATCCTCAAAATGATAGAAAAGTCTGCTGCCAACATGAGATCAATCTTTGTTTTGGGGGGGTTTATTCATAATATGTAAAAATATTTTTTTGGATGGGACTGGTAATGTATTTAATGGGCTAGGATATTTAGTGATTCCAAATGCAGTGCTTCTAGCAGCTAATAAAATGTACAAATATTTGAGTTTTCTTCAACTGTTTACTGTGCTTGCTTATATGAAAAGCAGAACCCCAAACCTGTATGACAACCACCTGAGGGCTACAAGAAGAGGATAATGGTGTCAAAACTGCCCTCCAAGTTCTAGGAATGAAGTCACAGATATTAAAATAACTATGAGATTTCAGTTTGAAAAACCATCAGATAAACTGTACCATGTTTAATAATGGACATACTGTCATCCACTAAAACAAATATGGAAAGCATGAGATTATCCTATAGATCTTCAAAATTCTTGTGATTGTAAAGCAATATTATCTTCATTTTTACATTTTTGCTTATTCAACGATGATTGAGCAAAATGAAGCAGTGTTATAACTCAAATTAAAATTCAGTCAAATTTAAACAATCCATTTAGTACAGAGACCTATCTTTGATAGTAAGCAACATAGTTTAAATGAGAAAATTATTGTATGAATGAGAAAATTATTGTACCAAATGGCTGAGCATTAATCTCTGATGACTAGCTTCAATATAACGAGGCATCTGTGTCCCAGGGACCTCTCAGTATGTCCCTGGCGGTATGCACACTGTATGAGTCTCTATGGCATTCTTTGTCTGCTTTTATAGGCAGCTTTTCGCCTCATTGTTTAGAATATCTTAATGCATCTGTGATGGGTGGTATGCATTCATACTAAAAGACTTACTATTGTTTTCTCTCAGAGGCTTTGTTGAGCGAAAGACTGAATCATAGTTCCCAATAATTATATTGGTTAATTAAACAGACAAAAAAGTTTGTCAATCATTGCATGGTTACCAGGCAGGAAGATAAAAGTGAAAACAATAAAGCTGTAGCAATAACAAAAGTAACAGCTATCGCACCAGAGATTCTTATATCACGAAGCTATTAATACAAAATTGGTAAATGTTAACATTACTCCAGGTGTCTCTACTTGGTTGCAAACAAAAAGACTAACATTATGAATGTAAAAGGCCAAACGTTACCATGGATCCTGAAACCTGAAAAAGTGACAGCTTTTTCATTTGATTAGAGAACTCAATTTAAATACCAAGAATTGCACCCAATCAGTCATTTATCTCTACAAGACACTTTCATTCATCCCATGGTCAGTAGCTGATTGATCAAAGGTCGGTCACATTTGCTCCTGAAATGTGTTGAATAGTTGATTGTATCATTATAATTATATTTTCAATGGACAGTAAATTCCATTTTGGTCTTATTTTTTTCCACAGAATTTTTTTAATGCTTAATAATGCATAACAAATAAGCTTCTTCCTATCATATATTTGCAAAGATATTTTAGATTGCACGTAATAGTTGCTTTAAGAAAGTTGTCTACAAACTGAATAACAGCACCACTTTTAATATAAGCATTACAAAAGATGTGGTGTTAGAGAGGGAGAATCTAATATTCAAATATTCTCTTCCAACTGTTTCCTTCCTAGAGTGAGAAATCCCAATGTTGGAATATTAATATTGAGGGGTCCTTGGTGCTCTCTGAATTTGGCTGTTTTCTTGCAGCTGTTTCATTAACCAATCTAGATAATATAATCAGTGGATTTTGAAATGTCTACAAGAAAACAATCAAGCTCAGAAAGCACCCAGGACCCTTCATTTTAACTCTCAGTTGCAAATATTCTTATATATCTAAATTTTAATAACATAAAAGAGGCTCTGGAAACCCCCTGCTTGAAAACAGGGCAAGAAGTTCAGTTTAAAAACCCACATGACAAATTGATGCATTTTAATATTAATAAACTTAATCTAAAAGTGTTATGTAAATACAGTTCAATGAAAGAGATTTCATTACAGAGTGCCAAAACAGATGCTTGATTCCAATAAACTTCAATATGTCAGATATTACTATTCTTCATTCTGATGCAAATTTCTAACTGCAAATGTCTTTTAATTCTCTACACGTCATCTGTTTCTGAATCTGAACTGCTTTTCTTTTTTTCTAAGGGTGCTTCATTCAGTGTCTCAGGGTAACAGCAAGAACTGTCCCAGAAGGCTGACTCAGTGTGCCATTCTGACATCATCTTAAAATGAATTTATTAAGCAGCTGAACATTTTCCCCACACCAAAGTGCCACAGGGTGACATTAATAAACACACACTGAAAAATCTGTGTAAACTGTGAAAAATTACAGCAGCTGAACAGGTGATCATTTCTGCTACCAGATATGATTGAAGGCACTAGAGAGTAAAGTAAGAGAAGGTAAAATAAGAGCATGTGACTATTCAAAGTTTGCAGTGATGGTTATTCATCATTTGATATGAATGCTTATATCAAATATTTCTAATAGAACATAAGCAGCCATTTTGAGATTATATAACCATTTATTATTCAGTCAAAAATAAAACTAAATAAAGGTGTTTGTTTTCTGAATGTTTTTCTCTGAATGTTACCCTCAAACTATAGAATGGTTCTTCATTTTTTATTCTTTTTAATTTAAACCTAGGATAAAAATGAACACAAAATTAAAATAAAAAATACAACTCTCTTTCCAAAAGGAAAAAAGAAACAAAATAAAAAATACCTTGAATTTATTTGTGGGGTTTGTTATAGGGTGTGAAGGCCTTTTTTTTTTCAAAACCTTTTCAGAATGAATGACTAAATGGGCATAGCCCTTAAAGATGATATGCTATGTAAATTTGCTTATTGCTAATACATTGAAGAAAGGTCCAATTTAATGCACTTTAATGCCACAGTTGGATTATTTTCATAGATTTTAATGACTTAATGAATCAATTAAAAAAACAACACTGTGCCACAAAGAGTTCCAAGGAGATACATTTAGTTTAAATACCATGCTCTCAGTTTTTTCATGATTTCCAAAAGAACCTGTCATGATTGATATATGGAGCTTATGTAATATTGAAGATTCTCTTAATTTTAAAAGAACTAGATGTGTATATTTCTTCAATAGAGGTTAATGGTTGTAAGTGATGAGTTTTAGCAAGCTTACAAAGGAATTATAGAACTTGACTCATCTGAAATAAAACAGAAATATGACTAGTGCTTTTGCAGAACAGATTTAACAATATGAATTTTCATAAATAATTAAACATTTAATTCTATTTAACTCAGATCTTTGTATTAAATACATCTGCCTTTGTAAGAAAATGATTAAGAAACAGGGACATAAATCAGGAAAGCCTTCATTTTTCAACAGTCAAAGTTTTAACTATCAATTTGAAATGATAGGGAATTTCCTTGCCTAAAAGCAGTAGCTTTTTATTACTAAAAGGTTGGTGAATATTTTTATTTCATCAGATCTTTGAAGCTTAAATACACTAAATACTTTTATTTATGTATATATACAGTATATATTTGTATTGTATTTAAACTGCTGGACTTTAAATAACACGGTGTTATAACTCACAGCAGTACTGGAAGACAATAGAAGGAAGATAAATGATAATATAAAATGCATAAATAAGCAATAAATGGCATAGTTCTTATTCTTCAAATACTGTTGGTACAGTTCAGTCTTTAAAAACTTCCAGAAAGCCAGTAATGAGGGCACCATTCTAACTTCATGGGGGAGGCCATCTCACAGTAAAGGGTCACAACTGAAAACATTGATGTCTCCTTCCTCCCCTTTACTTACTTCATGGCGGGGTTGTAAGTGATTTTGAAGAGGTACATGTATTTTAAATGGATTAAATGGGCTGTTTCCTTACAGAGAAGGCAGCCTATAAGCACCTAAATGTCAGGGGAGAAAGACAGGCATGTGGATGCCAGATTCCCAAAAGGAAACTCAATGTAGAAGCCAGCAGAAAGTCAGAATTTGCTCTTGCTTTTACTGCTTTTCTGTCTGCCCATGGTCAATCTGTTTCTCTGTTTAATTAAGGAAATATCTCTGAAACAATGATCCAACAAGGCATGGATTGTCTAGGCTTTTTAAAATAATAAATCAAAGATACTTCACGTCCCCTGTTAAACCAGCTCCTGCTATGTCTATAGTTCTGTTTGTTTTGTGACCATGGCTTTGATTGCCCTGCATTTTCTGTGGAAATTATGTGCTAGAAACTTCCATCTTAAGCTCATGTTTCTGCTACCCTTAACTGGGAGGGGGGGGTGTAGTTAGAGAGTCCAATCTCTAATCTCCATTTCATCAACTATACCTGGTCCTCTACAATAATGAGAGTATCCTTTCATCTCATCATCACAGAGGTGAGAATATTACCAGTGGATACTTGGCTCTGAAACCACTTAGAATTTCAGCTGGCTTTTTTGTCCCAATAGCTGGGGTTTCATTGAGTTAAATCACTTCACACATCTCCATTATATGGTTTGTATTTTAATTCTTTCTAGTATATCTTCAGCATGTATTGATTAGATGCCTTCAAGTCAATGTCAACCACATAAATAGATATAAAATTTAAATTCATTTTGTAAATATTTCTGAACATTTGTGATTAAAGAAATCCTGTTGCTTTAACTCTGATGAACATGTCTATGCACTGGAGAAATAATGATATAGGAGGCAGATGTGCCCTCAGAATCTATTCCAGAAGCTCTAATAGAAGATAAAAACTACATAACTTTACACATCTATGGCCTAAGAAGGTAACCAACCTTTCTCAACCCTGGAAGCTCCAACACAGCCATCACCTTCTCTATGCTGGCATTTGCAATTACTGAAACAGCCTGTATATTTCTCCTGGGTAGCACATCATAGCAGATTTAATCACGCAAGCTGCAGTTGTTGCTCTAGATTGTATTTATCAGACCAGCTTAAGCTTTGCAGGGAGCTATCCAGGGTGCTATCTGATTTTCTTGACTTTGCTTTACAATTATTGGTTCTATAGTTTACTTAATTTTGGTTTTCAAGCATATTATCAGGACAGTTTTCAACAAAATGTCAAAAGTATGATAAATAGGAAGAACACATACTAAATTAAAAAGTAGAGAAGTTGCATAAACAGATAAACGTATCAAAGACAAAAACTATCAACACATAACACATCAACAAAACAGCCTGCAGAAATAAATGAAAATACTTGTGGCTTGAACGTTATCAGAATGAACAAAAGGAATGCCCTTTTCAAGACAAAATTCCACATCCAGAGTTTCATCTCCTGTACATAGTCCCAGGTATACAGAAATTAGAAGACCAGGATTTTTTTTTTCAAAGAAGTATAGAAAAAGATCAAGAGCAATTCACAAACATTCATTATAGATTCAAGTACCCCAATTCCAATTAGAATATAGAAATTTGCTAAAAAGTCCTGATGTTTTCATCTCAGAAAGATGGCTTAAAGAGTATATTTTGCACTGTCTAAAGCAAGTATGATATTCTTGCTATATGCAGGAGGATTCCTGAATAAAACAACCCCAAATATCTTATTCTGAAGGAACTTTTCTTTTCTGGGTATTTATAAAGGGGAATGTCAATTACAGGAGCTGAAAAACAACACAACTAGAAGGCAACTTTTGATTTAGTTATAACTTACAACAATAGTAAGAAAGTTTTCAAGAAATACAGTATAAAGGCAATGGAAAAAAATACCATGCTTCAATACTGTATAAATGTATAAAATGCCATGAGATTATATTAATGTTAGTTTCAACTACAGAAAGAATTCAACGTCATCTCAAACTCATTTCAACTTTTCCATTTTCAGTTTTTATCTGATTTTACTTTTGTATTTGCTTTAGATTCATCTTGTGGGGGGAATTTAATTTAAAATTTGAATGTTGAACTTCTTTAGTTTTTGTACATTTTGAAGCAATGTATACACATTAAAGGAAGTAATTTTATTTTACTTTCTCTCATTTTTGTACAGTTCCTGAATGTCCTCATAATAAATGAATGAATGTGTGTATAACTCACATACTTTTTTCTGCTAAGTTACTAAAGAGGCACAAGTTATACATCTTTAAGTAATTGAATCAATTCATCTCCAGTCATAAATATAAGTCAAACTATTTAACATTAAATTTTCCGTTTCATTAAGGAAAAAAAACATGTTTAAGAATCATTTTTCTTTAGCATTAAGAATGATTCTACTATTATAAGAACCTGACTGTGTTGTATTCAACTTCAGGACCTACCTGTGGTTTCTTCATAATCTCAATGTAGAACATACGATTCCTCATTGGATAAATAATAATTAAAACATCACCAAAATCTGTGGGTATAATGCCCCTGCGATAATTTCTGGTGTGTTCAGACCAGATAACATGAACTTCATCATTTCCCAAGTGACGAAGCTGTAACAGCAAATGGATTTGCTATTAATCAAAATGACAGAAGAATTTCAGGAGCTAGGCTATAGGAATGAAATTACAATGCCAACAATATATTTGCTTCATCAGAGAAAATTATATAAAAATATTTTCTGCATGTTAAATAACTTCCTTCTTTCAAATATTATGGAACCTCACATGGTTTACTATTTTGTGATAAATAAGTAATAATATATGAATGACTGGAACGGAAGAAGCTAATCAGAGATAATTCACAGTAGATATGCTTTGTATTCATTGCAATTCAGTAATTTTCATTCCATTTTTAGTAACTAAAAAAGTGATCACGTGGGCACTTGGAGACTGGTTGTGAGAAAAGATTGTCAAGCACCCAGATCATGATCATATGATCACTCTATGATGACTGTAAGTGTATTATGGGCTGTCAAGCACCCTTTCCAAGGCCATTGTAACTTCAAATGGTTGTTAAACTGCCTGTTATAAGTCAAGGATTACCTGTATTAGAAATGGCCCAAGCTGTTAATATTTAAGAAAACAACAAATGCAGATACTGGAAATAAATGAACTTAAAATACTGTTTATAATAAGTTAGAGATTATAAACGTTTTCTGTGTGTGCATTAAAATAGCTAGGATTTAAAAAGCAAGTCTCAGTTTTTGATAAGTATTGAGTTCTAAAATGCAGACATTAAAATTAGAAACAGGATCCGTATTTTAAATGATCCCAAATAGAAGGACATCTTCAAAGGACAAAAGTTAGTAAAGAGTCTAACTTAAATGTTGGCATCAATCCTATCCATAATTATTACATTTCTTCATTGTTTTTGTGTAATATACCCTGTATTTTTGAACATTTGCTATTTTTTCAAGCCTTTTAACAAGAATTGCATGTTTGGACATATAAGTCTATGTGTCTTTGCAACTATTACTTAATAAATAATGAGAAAGGATCTTTAGATATTCTCCTTGTCTTCCAGGCTTACACACTGATGCTGACTGTGGTCATGATATAGACACCTAATAGTCTGACCTCTTTTCCCTACTAATTGTATTATGGAGCCAGCTGGCTTCAGAAAGGACTTGTCTGCATGATTGAAGAACTTCTGCTAGGGTTAGGCATGGATGCTACTTTTACTGAGTAATAGCCTGTCCTGACATCCCCATTGTCCGCCTGACAGAGTGCCCATCCTAAAATCGAAGTTTTATTTGTAAATTAACCAAGAAACTTCCTGCCAGAACAGTGCTGCCTGGAGACTGATAATGTGTGCCTTTCATTCCCTTTCACTCTTACTGTATTCACTGCCAATTTGTTTTCTGCTGCCAGCCAGCCTTAGGCTATAAAAAGCCTTGTAAGACATAAGTGCAATTATAGTCCTGGAGTCAAATGAATTGAACAAATCCAATAGCGCAGCTCTGTCTCTACTTTGCAAACCCCTACAGCAGTTAGATTAGCTGCTAAAAATCTAATCTAGCTATTACTAATGAATTTCTTGAGTAAAGAGCAAAAGTTCATTGGTGTGTGTGTGTGTGTGTGTGTGTGTGTGTTAGCCGTGTTTCTCAACTAAGTGGCTTTCTGTCACTAATTGATTTTTTAAATAAAAAAGCTACATATAATTTTGATAAGGAGCTGTTAGTTAGCTATGTGTATGCATTTTTACTATGGTTACAAGATGACTGGATTGAAAACAAAAATGAAAGATTGTACATAATGACAAATCTTTGAGACCCCAAAATACCATAAAATGGTTATTTCACAAATTTGTCAGCATTGTAATTACTTTACTGTTTTTTCACTAGACTATGAAGAAAATAGAAAACTGAGTTGTCCTGGTGGCTGGTATTAATAAAACATATATTTTATTCTAAACCAACTAGCAATATTCCTCAATAGCTGTCAAATTTATGGTACTTATTTTAGATGTCATATGCAGGTGCAACTATTTTACATACACAAAAGACTTTATCATTAAATATTTCTATGACATCTGTCTTATTCTGTGGGTCAAAAAATATACTGCCTGCCGCAGAATGGTCATATTTACAGGCAGTTTTTCTGAGCAGCAGGTGGTATGACCTTCTGTCATGCTATTGAGTTTGTCAGCTAAGCAAGTTATTTAGCTTTCTCCTTCCAATGCTTGGAAATTGGCAAATTAAAAGGAAGGGGGAATGATAATAGCAGGAATACAAGTATCACCTAAATAGCTTAAGAGGCAAAATGTATTGTTAAGCAGAGAAACAATCTTAAAATGAATATTTTTTCTAACAAGAGATTTAAATATATAATTTATATAAAACATAATCTAGAATATAAATATTAAACATGTCTGTCTCTATAGATAAGACTATTAAAAGATGCTATGGAAGAAGAACAAATTCTACCACACAAGATCAAGACTGATTTTGAAGTGGATTTAAAAATGATAAGAATGACACAGAAAAAGATGTTACAGTGGACATGTAAAACAAACCAGGTGATGTCTTAATAATTAAAAGGGATATGCAAATAACAAAGCAAGTGAATGATTGTAATTGTAATCTTTAATAAAATTACTTCACAAAACCCCTAAACACAATAAACAATCATGCTGCTAACAGGAGGCAAAAGACACTTCTGAAAAGATACTATGCATTATATTATTTGATATTTAGGTTTATATTTTACCTTTTTGGTCAATGAGTCATCTGAGTCAGATGGCATTCGTGTAGATACATGAAAAATTACTTCTACACTTGAAGTAGCATAATATGGGGCTGTTTGTCCTGTGCTACCGTTACGTTGAAGGCCACCCATAAATCCACAGTGAGTTGAAAGATCAACCTTAATCAAGCAAAATATAAAGATGTTAGCCTTAATCTTTTAATTCTAAACAAAGATAAAGGAAATATCCTTTGAATTGACCGGAACATTTTTAGTAAACAAACTTAAAATTAATGTTTTGTTTTAGTTATTTTAGCTGACTTTAAGTCATTCTAATTGAAGTCCACTCTAATGGCATATATCTCAGTCTTCATAAATTGGCATAAAACAAGACCTTACAATAAAATAATAGCAATCACAAACCTTAAAGTTATACTAAAATATAAAGCACTAGGCACCTAAATCAGTTTGTTTTATAATTATTCCTATACAGAACACTTCAGATTAGATATGAAATATACTACAGATATCATACATATTATATTATAATAGATGATACACCATTCAGATGTATTAGAAAAATAAATGGTTTCAGTGATAACTAAATAATGAGGTCTGGAATCAGTGACTACCAGTGCATTAACTAATGGGTTGTAGAATATCCAAAAGGGTGCATAAAAAATTCTCCTTATAAAAATTTTATGGTAGATTTTCTGAATGAGGATAACTAAGTGCTCAGAACTAAAATTCTTGCAGTAGCCATTGGTACTATATTATTTGGTAACACAATTGACATTATGTTGGAGTTTTATAGATGTTCTGAGTAAAGAAAAATTATAGGATTAGCTTTCCTGGCTTGCTTTCCTAAGTGATAGTACATGTGTTTTGAGAACATGTGAGAGCTACACACAGGCTCAGTAACAAAAGAAATGCTGGATCAAATGGATTGGACTAGACCAGTTAATCTAAAATGTGGAGAAATTAATATCACCAGATCAAATATTCCATTACCACAATTAATACTGTTACCTGAAACAAGATATTTGGGCAATATTTACCTCCCAACCCAATCCAGCAATAAAATCTTCATATGCTTGGCTTCCTTGTGGATTGGACAATATTGAGCATTTATCTTCTTGTCCTTCAGCAATGTAAACTACTGCAATCTTGTGAGTTTCCCGACTGTAAGAACAACAAAAATATTGTGTGACCTTTATATATTTCTATTCTGAAGAGTTACATGCAGAGTAAAATAAGTTTAAATAAAAATAATGAAGAATGTGTAATTAAGGTAAAGGCAAAGCTTCCCCTTGCACATATGTGCTGGTCGCTTCCAGCTCTAGGGAGCAGTGCTTATCTCCATTACAAAGCCGAAGAGCCAGTGCTGTCTGAAGACGTCTCCAGGGTCATGTGGCCGGCATGACTAAACGCAGAAGGCACATAGAACGCTGTTACCTTCCCACCAAAGTGTTTCCTATTTTTCTACTTGCATTTTTACATGCTTTTGAACTGCTAGGTTGGCAGAAGCTGGGACAAGTAACGAGAGTTCACTCCATTATGTGGTGCTAGGGATTCGAACCATCAAACTGCCGACCTTTCTGACCACAAGCTCAGCGTCTTAGCCACTGAGCCACCACGTCCCTAATATACAAACTATGATTTTGTTAACAACTGAACAAAATGTATATCCCCCAAGTTTAGTTATTGGCAGTTCACATTTTTCTTCTCCTAAAAATAAACAATTTTAAAAAATAAACATTTCTCCCTGCATGGGTTGTATTCTTCTCTTCTACTCATTAAACTGACCCTCTGGAGTTCATATTATTTTTTTCTCTTACTATCTGTTTTCCTTTTGTGAATTTGACATGTATGTAAGCTATGAAATACAGTGTTACAAATATTCCTACAACTGTTAGCACGGTTTGATTGCTTATTGTGCTTATTGCCCTATGATTATTATTAAGTGTTGTACCTTATGATTCTTGACTCTTAATGAATGTATCTTTTCTTTTACGTACACTGAGAGCATTTGCACCAAGACAAATTCCTTGTGTGTCCAATCACACTTGGCCAATAAAGTATTCTATTCTATTCTATTCTATTCTATTCTATTCTATTCTATTCTA